CCCGCACGGAAGAGCCTGGCAATCTTTCCGTTGTGTATTCGATATGCCAAAACCAGTAACTACAATTGGTCTCATTCACCTGACCGTGAAGGCTTCACCAAAAGGGCAGCACTGAGAAGGATGAGAAAGGAGAGGCCAAAAAAATCTCAAGGCCGACCTAGGCTGCCACAACGAAGGAAGACAAATATGATCATCTGTACTTTCAATGCACTTATGCTAGCATTAGATGCATCCATCGAGGACCTGATGGTACAAGCGCGAATGATCAAGTACGACATCATTGGTCTGAACGAGACAAGAAGGCATGAATCTCATCATGCCGTTTTCGACACAGGAGAAGAATTGTTCCTCGGAACATGCGATAAAAGAGGCGTTGGAGGCGTCAGTGTCCTTGTCAACACAAACTTGGCCAAGAGCATTGATACATTCGAATGCCTAACAACCCGAATCGGACGTTTACATTTGAATAGATGTGGCTCACTGCCTGCAGTTTCTATCTTCGTTGTCTACGCACCAACATCTCATTATGATGAAAGAGAAATCGAGAAGTTCTACATGGAGCTAGAGAAGTTCTATAAAGAAGACCACATCTTCTACAAGATCATTGTGGGTGATTGAAATGCCAAGATAGGACCGAGAAGATCAGCTGAAGAACTTCACATCGGGAGCCATGGCCTAGAATGGAACGAACAGGGTGAGAGACTGTCTGAGTTCATCATGTCGACCAAGACCATTCATGGTAACTCACAGTTCCAGAAGGCAGAATCTAAACGATGGACATGGGAGTCTCCCGGTGGACGATTCCACAACAAAATAGACCACATCATATTCAATCGACGGTTTTGCCTGTCCGGTGTCGCTGTTGTCCCAAAATTTCGAACGGGATCGGACCACCATCTCCTTCGTGCAAAATTCTACTTCACAGAGCGGGGAGAAAGGGCTGCAAAGTTCAAAAAGAGAACTCCCAGAATGACCACCAACTGGGAACTCTTTGGCAGTATTGAGGCAACATGGGAAGATGCCATTGTTGACAACATTGACGAGGAATACGATCGACTGGTTCAGCACCTCCATGAATGTGCGAGGAATGCCAAGAGAGAGATAGTCACAAAAAATCGCCTATCTTCGAAAATTCTTGAGCTAATTCGCCAGCGTGGTTTGGCGCATGCCTCAGGCAACCGCAAGCTAACGTCCGAGCTCACAAAGCAGTGCAGAGATGTGATCAAGGAAGACCTCAAAGAGAGAAGAGCAGAAGTACTGGTAGATGCGGCCGAAGCCGGGAAAAGTATTCGTAATGCCCGCCTGTCCTTCGCCAACTACAAGACCAAGATGACTGCCCTCCGACGTCCTGATGGATCCATGACATCCTCCAGAATGGCAATGGAGAAGATTATCCATGACGTCTACTCAAATCTCTTCGATAGCCATGTCCACTTGCTGACATACCAAATTCCACAGGATGGATATATCGTTCCCAACGTACTCCCTTCCGAAATCTGACATGCCATTTCGTCGGTAAAGAAACAAACAGCACCCGGCCCAGACAAGGTCAGACCTGAACACCTGAAGAACCTGCCGTCAGTACTCATCAATACACTGGCTCGGCTCTTCACTCGCTACCTGTCTGAATGCAAGGTTCCGTCCCAGTGGAAAACCAGCAGGACCATACTACTGTTCAAGAAGGGAGACATCCATGACATTGGCAACTATCGCCCGATCTGCCTATTGTCTGTCATCTACAAGTTGTTCACTCGAGTCATCCTAAATAGGATTGGCAGAACACTAGATGAAGGACAACCATGCGAGCAAGCCGGGTTCCGCAAAGGATTCAGCACCATCGACCATATCCACACGATAACCAAGCTCATTGAGGTTTCTCGGGAGTTCAAGATGCCGCTCTGTTTAACGTTCATTGATTTAAAGAAGGCCTTTGATTCTGTTGAGACCGAAGCGGTCATTGAAGCCCTAGCCAATCATGCCATTCAAGCCCAATACATCAGGATCCTCCGTGAGCTGTATTGCGGATTCACTACCAGGATCTCAGCATTCTACAAAGAAGTGATCGTTGATATCAAGAGAGGGGTTCGGCAGGGTGATACCATTTCACCGAAACTCTTCAGTGCCACCCTCGAGAACATCATGCGATGACTGGAATGGGAAGGAATGGGAGTGAAGATAGATGGTCGGCAACTACACCACCTTCGCTTTGCTGATGACATTGTTTTAATAACACCAAACATCAGCCAAGCGGCACAAATGCTGGCCGACTTTGACCGTGAGTGTGGAAATGTAGGACTACAGCTGAATCTTACGAAGACAATGTTTATGAGAAACAGCCTTGTTCCTGACGCCCCATTCACTCTCAATGGAACGACCATCTCCGAATGCAACAGCTATGTGTACCTAGGTCGAGAAGTCAACATGACAAATGACCTGGCACCCGAGCTGCGCAGGAGGAAGAGAGCGGCTTGGAACGCCTTCAAGAACGTCAAAGAAATAGCTAAGAGGATGAAGAACCTTCGGCTCTGGGCACATCTCTTTGATTCCACTGTTCTTCCTGCATTAACATATGCCTCAGAGACCTGGGCCCTACGCAAACAAGATGAGAACGCTACTCAGGTCTCCCAAGGAAGAATAGAAAGAACTATGCTTGGAATATCACGTTTCACTCAAATGAGAGAACGAATCCAGAGTTCTGACATCCGTCGACGATCAAGGATCAGGGACGCTTTCTCATATGCCAAGGTTTCGAAAATCAGATGGGCTGGTCATGTAATGAGATTTAAAGACGACCGTTGGACTAGAGCTGTTACTGATTGGATTCCACGGAATGTCAAAAGACCGCGTGGCCGCCCACCTACCAGATGGTCAGACTTCTTCGTCAAGATCATGAACGATCGGTTTGAGGCCCTTCATGTTCCCGGAGCGAACAGATGCCATTGGGCTACACCAGCACGCGACAGGGACAAATGGAGACGTTACTGGCGCCCGCTCGAGCAAATCGACGACTAACGGGAAGTTAAGTGATTTAAGTGATAAGTAATCTCTAAGACTGAAACACACAGAAAATGGGTCAAGAAGCATTGAAAAAATAAATTCATCTTATTTATTATAATTGAAAATAATATTAAAAATATTTTTAAAATCTACAGTTATAGTCGTTGGTTGAAAACAAGTTTTCATAGATTTAAGAAAGTTCCTGTTGATATGGTGAAGTAGCTTTAGGAAACGGTCCCATTATTGTGCATCTCCCCGTCCATCCAGATTATATCTGAGGTCTGGGGGTCCATCTCCCCCCGGAAACTGTTGCCAGTGATGGAACTCACAAGACAGTGAAGCTGAGTCAGATCTGTGAGGATTCACCGTCCTGGGCTTGCAGGTGCTCTGGGACAGAGCCACAGCGAGTCATGTGCTTTATGTAAGAGAACGTGTATTAATTCTATTAGAAACACCTTGTATATGAGGTGTAATATTCATCCATCTCAATAGTCATGTAGCCAAAGTTGCTCTTTCTCTACCTATGTGTTTATTTTTAGTAGAATTTTGTTGAACTTGTTGAGTGCTTTGATTACTTTTGATACTTAATGCTGACTTTTTTAAACGTCAAATGATAAAGCGAACTCTCTGGCACATTAGATTTAACTGAACCCTTTGGTGTTCCATGGATTAGGGGTATAGTATGTGACATAGTCTGTGTCTCAGTTCTAGGCATTTGGGAGCAGGATAGGGCCTCACGAGTCACTGCTCAGAGCTTGCACACTGTACTTGTATATAATGTGTGAATCTGCAGAAAGACCAAAACTCTGACCCAACAGATTGTGTGCTGAGGACTCTTTACTGTGTCTTTCTAAGCATCGTACAGGGTTGGAATTCTTCGGTGATGAACCCCAAGGAAAAGGTCCTGATGTTCATGATCATCTTTTGGACACTGAGTTGTACATAGGACAGAGCAGTTTTACGTGCCATTGGCCAGGACAACCACACCAGGAAGGTCACCTGGGCAGAAGCATCTTCCTTGTCCCAATATAAAAGAGAATAAACAAATCCACCCTGACAACCATCTTGGACAATAAGGATTGAAGCTGCCCCACGTGAAGAAATGTTCATGCAAGATGAGAGAGTAACTGTCACTGTCACTGTCCTCCCGTTGTTCATGGATTTTCTCTAGTGGACACCAGAAACGTCTCCATTGTGAGACTTGCTGTTACTGTTTTTGGCATATCGAATACATCATGGGTAGCTTGTGAAGCTTTGCCGTGCAGGCAGAATACTCTAGGTAGCTCTCCAGGCTCTCCGAGAGGGGTGGAGGAATCAAACCCCTGTAGGCAAATGCCTTACCTGTTATGCTAACAACCCAGGAGAAAACAGGAAATAAAAAAGAATTCTTCATCCTTTTTCACAATGACATGCAAACCCACACTGACTTAAACTTCAAAAACTAAAAAGGCAATTTATTTAACATGCATTTTTAGAATTAGAAAAAATGAGGACAAGAGTAAATAGACAAGAGTAAATTGATTAACCATGGATTGGACCAGAATAAGTCATAATTTACTGTGACAATTATACTGTGTATTACGTGCCAGTATTATCTTATGAAGTAGGAGAACAGTAGCCACCACTGAGGGTCAGGGGCCTGTCTATAGGGTAGAGGCCCTGGGGGGGGGGCTGGGTTTGGTCATCAGGGACCTGAGACACGGGGACTCTCCTCCACTGCTGCCGTTTCCGCCTCAGCAATTCCTGTTTCCTGAGAGCTCCTCAGCACGTTTCCTGTGCTGGAGGAAGAGGCCCAGATTTCTCGGCCCAGGGACAGGCCCAAGTGCTCTGAGCCAAAGTCAGCACCTCCTCCCAGGGAGGCCACACACCAGCCTCCCCCGAGTCCCCTTCTTCCTCTACAGAGGCTCCCCCATGCAAATCTGCTCTCCAGACCCAGGGTTAAAACCATGTTCACACTCACCCCAACTTGGGCTCCCTCTTCCACTGACATGGTCTCTGAGATCATGGACCTTGTGGCCAGGAACATGCATCAGCACTGGTTCCTCCTCTTTCTGGTGGCAGCTCCCAGATGTGAGTATCCCCTGGACAGAGGCTCCAAGGTGGGCATGGGGCCTCTGAACCTGTGACTCTCTGTGGGTCTCTGTCCCTAGGTGTCCTGTCGCAGATACAGCTGCAGGACTTGGGACCAAGCCTGGTGACGCCCTCGCAGACGCTGTCCCTCATCTGCTCCGTCTCTGGATTCTCTCTAACCAGCTATAGTGTGTACTGGGTCCGCCAGGCCCCTGGAAAGGGTCTGGATTGGATTGGTACTATATGTAATGGTGGAAGCACAGACTATAACCCAAGTCTTAAGTCCCGACTCAGCATCACCAGGGACACCTCCAAGAACCAAGTTTACCTAAAACTGAGCAACTCGGTAACTGAGGACACAGCCATGTATTATTGTGCAAAAGACACACAGTGAGGACAAGTCACTGTGAGTCCAGTCACAAACCTGCTGAGGGACACAGGGCAGCTGTAGAGGTGACTACGGCCACCAGGGGGCGCTCTGCTCCAAGTGATCCTAGGCGGTGCCAGGGGCAGGGGGAGAAGGGACAGTAAGTCACTTTCTTTTTTTCTTTTTCATTTGTTTTTACATATTTTTCTTCTTCTCAGTGGGGGGATCATTTTCCTCTGTATTATAATATTTATACCAACTTAAAAAAATATATACACTTTAGTTATTACTTCCTCTCCATCGGGACTCTCATGCTTCTGGTGGGAATAAAGGTGATGACTGCACAATTTTGTGTTCCCACCAGCAATGAATGAGATCTTCTGTTACTATGTATCTTTACCAGCATTTGGCGGTGCTGGTATTCTGAATTTTAACCCTTCTGAAAGGTTGTAGCTCTTTCTGTTTTTCTTTTTGGGTCACACCCCTCAGGGGTTACTGCTGGCTCTGCACTCAGGAATTACTGCTGGCTCTGCACTCAGGAATTACTCCTGGTGGTGTTCAGGGGACCAGATAGGATGCTGGAAATTGAACGTGGGTCAGCAGTGTGCGAGGCAAACTCCGTACCCACTGTACTATCACTCCAGCCCCAAGGTTGAAGCTTTCTTTGTTGTTGTTGTTGTTGTTGTTGTTGTTGAGGGAGGAGTCACACCTAGCAGAGCTCTGGCCTCAGTCCTGGCAAAGCTCAGTGGGACTCTATCTGGTACTGGGATTTAACCCAGGCCTGCTTTGTGTGACTCAAGTGCCCTGCCCAAGTATGTTGTTGTTTTAATTGCAGTTTTCCAACAGTGAATAACATTGAGCATCATTTTCATGAGCCTAATGCTTATCTTCACAGGTGTGATTTCAGATCTTAAATCCATTTTAAAAATTGGATTGCTTGTAGCTGGGCTTTAAGAACTCTTTGTGTTGTGGGGCGGTGGGGTTGGGCCTTACCCAGCGGTGCCAGTGAGCATCTTAGTGATCCGTTCCTAGGGGTTGCTCTTGCAGGGTTCATGGTACTATGGGATACCAGGAAATGAACCTGGGCCTCCAGGCTGCAAAGGATACACTCCAGCCCATTGAATTATTATTATTACTATTATTATTATTCACTTGACCACTTGATCACTTGACTTCCCGTTAATTGTCGCTTTGCTCGAGCAGAGCAAAGTGACGTCTCCAATTGTCCCTGTCGCCTGCTAGTGTAGCCCAATGGTGTCTGTTCGCTCTAGGAACACGAAGAGCCTCAAATTGATTGTTCACGATCTTGATGAAGAAGTCTGACCATCTCTTAGGTGGGCGGCCACTCGGTCTTTTGACATCCAGTGGAATCCAGTCGGTAACAGCTCTAGTCCAGGGGTCATCTCTAAATCTTATTAGGTGACCAGCCCATCTGATTTTTGACACCTTGGAAAACGAGACAGTGTCCCTGATTTTTGATCGTTGATGGAGATCGGAACTCCGAATTCTTTCTCTCTTTTGAGTGAAACGTGATATTCCAAGCAGAGCTCTTTCAATTCCTCTTTGAGAGACACAAATAGCGTTCTCATCCTGTTTGCATAGGTACCAGGTCTCTGAGGTATATGGTAATGCAGGAAGAACACTGATATCAAAGATTTGTACCCGGAGCTGGAGGTTCTTCGTCCTCTTAGCTATTTCTTCGATGCTCTTGAAGGTGTTCCAAGCTGCTCTCTTCCTCCTGCACAGCTCGGGTGCAAGGTCATTTGTCATGTTGAATTTTCGACCTAGGTACACATAGCTGTTGCATTTGGAGATGGTCATTCCATTGAGAGCGAATGGGGCATCAAGAAAGAGGCTGTTTCTCATAAACATTGTCTTTGTAAGATTCAGCTGTAGTCCGACCTTTCCACACTCACAGTCGAAGTCGGCCAGCCTTTGTGCCGCTTAGCTAATGTTTGGTGTTATGAAAACAATGTCATCAGCAAAGTGGAGGTGGTGTAGTTGCTGACCATATATTTTCACTCCCATTCCTTCCCATTCCAGTCATCGCATGATGTTCTCGAGGGAGGCACTGAAGAGTTTCAGTGAAATGGTATCACCCTGCCGAACCCCTCTCTTGACATCAATGATTACTTCTTTGTAGAATGGTGAGATCCTGGTAGTGAATCCGTAATATAGGTCATGGAGGATCTTGATGTATTGTTTGAATGCCCTGATTGGCTAGGGCTTCAATGACTGCTGCTGTCTCAACAGAATCAAAGGCCTTCTTTAAATCAATGAACGTTAGAAAGAGCGGCATCTTGAACTCCCGAGAAACCTCATTGACTTTGGTTATCATATGGATATGGTCGATGGTGCTGAATCCTTTGTGGAACCCAGCTTGCTCGCATGGTTGTCCTTCATCTAGTGTTCTGCCAATCCTATTTAGGATGACTCGAGTGAACAACTTGTAGATGACAGACAATAGGCAGATCGAGTGATAGTTGCCAATGTCGCGGATGTCTCCCTTCTTGGTCAGTAGTACAGTCCTGCTGGTTTTCCAATGAGATAGAAACTTGCATTCACACAGGTAGCGTGTGAAGAGCCAAGCCAGCGTATTGATGAGTACTGACGGCAGGTTCTTCAGGTGTTCAGGTCTGACCTTGTCTGAACTGGGTGCTGTTTGCTTCTTTACTGACAAAATGGTGTGTCGGATTTCGGAAGGGAGAACTTTGGGAACGACGTATCCAGCCTGTGGAATTTGGTATGTCAGCAAGTGGACATGGCTGTCTAAGAGATTTGAGTAGAATTCATGGACAATCTTCTCCATTGCTGTTCTGGAGGATGTGATATATCCATCAAGACGTCGGAGGGCAGTCATCTTGGTCTTGTAGTTGTCGAAGGACAGTCGTTCGTTACGAATACTTTTCCTGGCTTCTGCCACATCTACCAGCACTTCTGCTCTTCTCTGCTTGAGGTCTTCCTTGATCGCATCTCTGTCCTGCTTTGTGAGCTGGGACATTCGCTTGCGGTTGCCTGAGGTATGCACCAAACTACGTTGGTGAATAAGCTCAAGAGTTTTCAAAGACATGACGTTTTTTGGTGGCTGTCTCACTCTTGGCGTTCTTCACACAATCATGGAGGTGCTGAACCAGTCGATCGTACTCCTCGTCAATGTTGTCAACAATGGCATCTTCCCATGTTGCTGTAATAGTGCCAAAGAGCTCCCGGTTGGTGGTTGTTCTGGGAGTTCTCTTTTTAAACTTTGCAGTCCTTTCTCCCCGCTCTGTGAAGTAGAATTTTGCAGGAAGGAGACAGTGGTCCGATCCCGTTCGGAATTTTGGGACAACAGCGACATTGGTCAGGCAAAACCGTCGATTGAATATGATGTGGTCTCTTTCGTTGTGGAATCGTCCACCGGGAGACTCCCATGTCCAACGTTTCGATTCAGCCTTCTGGAACTGTGAGTTACCATGGATGGTCTTGGTCGACATGATGAACTCAGACAGTCTCTCAGCCTGTTCGTTCCATTCTAGGCCATGGGTCCCAATGCGAAGTTCTTCAGCTGAACTTCTCGGTCCTATCTTGGCATTAAAATCACCCACAATGATCTTGTAGAAGGTGTGGTCTTCTTTATAGAACTTCTCCAGCTCCATGTGGAACTTCTCAATTTCTCCTTTATCATAATTAGATGTTGTTGTGTAGACAATGAAGATAGAAACTGCCGACAGTGAGCCACATCTATTCACATGTAAACATCCGATTTGGCTTGTTAGGCATTCGAATGAATCAATGCTCTTGGCCAAGTTTGTGTTGACAACGACACCGATGCCTCCGACACCTCTTTTATCACATGTTCCGAGGAACAATTGTTCTCCAGTGTCGAAAACGGCATGATGAGATTCGTACCTTCTTGTCTTGGTCAGACCAATGATGTCGTACTTGATCATTCGCGCTTGTACCATCAGGTCCTCGATGGATGCATCTGATGCTAGTATACGTGCATTGAAAGTACAGATGTCTCCTTTCTTATCCTTCTCAGTGCTGCTGTGTTAGTGAAGCCTTCAGGGTCTGGTGAATGAGACCCATTGTAATTACAATGAGACCCATTGTAATTACTCATGCATGACCTAAGTCCCACAGAACAAGATAAGAGGAACTCTCTGAGACTTTGGACTCCTGGCTCAATGGACCCAGGGACAGAGATTCTCTGCTTGCTTCCACCAACCACAGGTGACAAAGGGATTATAATCAGGAGCCCCACCCTACCCTTCCCTGTCTGCTTCCACCAACCACCAGAGACCCAGGGATAGGATTGCGCACAGAAGACCCACCCTACCCCTACCGGGACCAGATAAATATCCCACTGGCAGACCTCCAGTACTGACACTACCTCCACTACCCAGCCGCCGCCACACTCCAAGACGCTTTCCGGAACCGCGCAGTCGCTTCGCCGCTGCGCGGCGCATCATAAGTCACTAAATACCCATCTTCCGGAATTGCCGTACCATATTTGATAGGGTTCAAATATGGTAACATCTACCAGGGTGATTAGAGGTTGCCCAAAAGCCTCTATCCCTCTCAGAAAGACTGGCAAGCTACCGAGAGTATTCGCCCGCACGTTGTGTATTCGATATGCCAAAACCAGTAATTACAATGGGTCTCATTCACCTGACCCTGAAGGCTTCTGAAATGAATTCCCAGGATTCAATCCTGTATTAGAGATGCCAAGAGGTTAATGCCCCTGGGAGCCTAGAGACTCTCCCTGCAGGATGGGGACCAGGCTGCAGGGGTTCCAAGTCCCAAGAGCACACAGTTGCAGGCCTGAAGTGGGTACAGAGATGGAAAAGGTTTCTCTTCAGAAACATGAAATCAAATCACAAATAGCTTTGTAAGGGTCTAGCTCACAGTGATTTAATAGAAAAAAAATAATTATTCAAAAACCCAGAAAACTAAATTTTGCTTTGTTGAGAAAACCAAAATAAAAATAAGTATAGGACACAGAAGGTTAAATTGTGCATACTTAACCATTTTGGGAGGAACATTTATCATACTGATAAGGCAGTAAAACCTGTATGCAAGTGGTGTGTCTGGACTTCTTAATATCTCCAATGGAAACCACTGGGATTACGGTGGTTTTGCAGTCTCATTGTAGTATACCTTGTGGAGTTATAGGTTTCCTGAAATAACCTCAGAGCCCAGGTTTGACCAGATGTGTCCAGGTCATAAAGATGTGGGGGACCCTGAGAAGAAGGTACTGACAGGGTTTGGCCCTACTGAGTGGGAGCTCTGTTTGCACAGAGTTCTGGGACAGGACAGAGTCTCATCTCCTCAATCAAAGATCAGAACGTGGACCTCTTCACTCTCCTTGAGGATGGACCCAGTGACCTCTACCAGCCCCTTTTCAGGTTGGACCAGGTCGTCAGCTATGAATTCTACCTCCTCATGAACATGCAAATTAGATGAAGGACACTGAGTTAAATAGAGATGTGTCTGTGTCCTAACAACCTCACAAAGCCAAAACACCCACACCTTCAGAAGCCCCTTAGTGCACAGTCCCAACCATGGACTGGACCTGGAAAATTCTCTTCCTGGTGGCAATGGCTACAGGTAAGTGTCCCCATGCCTTAGGCTGAGGGAATGGGGCCAGCCAAGTGGAGCCCACCCCCTCCTGTCTGTGTCCACAGGTGTGAACTCCCAGGTAGAGCTGGTGCAGTCAGGAGCTAAGGTGGCAAAACATGGGACATCAGTGAAGATCTTCTGCAAGGCGTCCGGATACACCTTCATCCAAGACTATATGCACTGGATGCGCCAGGCTCAGGGAGAAGGTCTTGAGTGGATGCGATACATACTCCCTTACGATGGTGAAACAAGCTACGAACCGAAGTTCCAGGGCAGACTCACACTCACTGCAGAAATGTTCAAGGACATAGCCTACATCGAACTGAGCAGGCTGAGCACTGAGGACATGGCCATGTATTACTGTGTGAGTGACACAGTGTGACAACCATGTCCTGAATGTGTCAGAAACCTGATGGGGAGGCAGCTCTACCAGGTGAGGTGATGAGAGGGACGCTGATCCTCCTGATTTCCTCCTCAGAGAATCAGGGTCTGAGACACAGAATGGAGCTCAAAGGGCCAGGCGTCATCTGAGGGAAAGGCTCAGGATCTGTCTCTGTCCTTCAGCAACAGCCAAGAGGAAGATGGCTTCTCTTGAGAACACCTGGCATCACTCATATTTTCATCTAGAATTTTGTGTGGAGCGCCCCAGATGGTACAGGAAGAACCACATGGAAGTTTGAGCGGGGGTTATTGCAGGTTCCTGAACTATAGGTCTATACATGGCAGACTCCCAATGTTTCACATTTTGTTTTAAATTCTGTATCTGTAAGGACCTTCACAACCTCCACTACGCAGCCGCCTGTACGCTCCAGGCCACAAAGTGGCCGCGTGACACATCATAAGACACTTAATACGCATCTTCCAGTATTGCCACACCATATATAATGGGGTTCAAATATGGTTGGAACCATGGGAACACCTACAAGGGCGAATTGGGGCTGCCCCAAAAGCCTCTATCCCTCTCGGACAGCCTGGCAAGCTGCCGAGAGTATCCTGCCTGCATGGTAGAGCCTGGCAAGCTATCCGTGGAGTATTCTCTATGCCAAAATCAGTAAATACAATGGGTCTCATTCCCCTGACCCTGAAGGAGCCACCAATATGGCAGCATTGAGAAGGATGTGGAAGGAGAGGCTGATAAAATTTCAAGGCCGAACTAGGATGCCAAAACAAAGAAAGACTAAAATGACTGTCTGTACCTTCAATGCATGTGCGGTTCCATCAGATGCATCCATCGAGAACCTGATGGTACAAGCGTGAATGATCAATACGAGATCATTGGTCTGATCGCGATGAGAAGGCATCAATCACATCATGACTTTTTCAACAATGGAAAAGAATTTTTCCTCAGAACATGAGATAAAAGAGGCATCGTTGGTATCTGTGTCCTTGTGAACACGAACTTGGCCATGAGCATTGCTTCATTCGAATGCCTAACAACCCGAATTGGACTATTACACTTGAATAGATGTGACTGACTGCCGGCAGTTTCTATCTTCGTTGTCTACGCACCAACATTCAATTATGATGAAGGAGAAACTGAGAAGTTCTACATGGAACTGAAGAGGTTCTATAAAGAAGACCACAACTTCTAAAGATCATTGTTGGTGATTTTAATGCCAAGATAGACTGAGAAGATGAGCCCAAGAACTCCACATCAGCACCCATGGTCTACAGTGGAACAAACAGGGTGAGAGACTGTCTGAATTCATCACGTCAACCAAGACCATGAGTTTAGAAAGGATGAATCTAAACATTGGACATGGGAGTCTCCCAGTGGACTGTTCCACAACGAAATCGACCACATCATATTCAATGGACAGTTTTGCCTGACCAATGTCACTGTTGTCCCAAAAATTCCAAACGGGATCCGACCACCGTCTTCTTCGTGAAAAATTCTACTTCACAGAGCGGGGAGAAAGGGCTGCAAAGTTTGAGAAGAGAACTCCCAGAACGACCACCAACTGGGAGCTCTTTGGCACTATTGCTGCAACATGGGAAGATGCCGTCGTTGACAACATTTACGAGTAATATGATCAACTGGTTCAGCACCTCCATGATTGTGCGAAGAACGCCAAGAGTGAGATAGCCACAAAAAAAACCTCTTCTGCACCTCAAAAGAAACAGTGACCAAAATACAAAGACAGCCTACAGAATGGGAAAGGATATTCACCAAGTACACATCCGACAAGGGGTTGATATCAAGGATATACAAGGTACTGGTTAAACTCCACAAGAAGAAATCACCCAACCCCATCAAAAAATGGGGTGAGGAAATGAACAGAAACTTTCGCAAAGAAGAAATTCGAATGGCAAAAAGGCACATGAGAAAATGCTCTACATCACTAATCATCAGAGAGATGCAGATCAAAACCACAATGAGATATCATTTCACACCACAGAGACTGGCCCACATCCACAAGAACAAAAGCAATCGGTGCTGGCGCGGATGTGGCGAGAAAGGGACCCTCCTTCACTGCTGGTGGGAATGCCGGCTGGTCCAACCCTTTTGGAAAACAGTATGGACGACTCTCAAAAAATTAGAATTTGATCTGCCATTTGACCCAGAAATACCTCTCCTGGGAATATATCCCAGAGAGGCAAAAAGGTATAGTCGAAGTGACATCTGCAATTGTTTGTTCATTGCAGCACTCTTTACAATAGCCAGAATCTGGAAAAAACCTGAGTGCCCAAGAACAGATGACTGGTTAAAGAAACTTTGGTACATTTACACAATGGAGTACTATGTAGCTGTTAGAAAAGATGAAGTTATGAAAGTTACATACAAGTGGTACTACATGGAAAGTATCATGTTAAGCGAAATGAGTCAGAAAGAGCGGGATAGACACAGAAAGATTGCATTCATCTGGGGAACATGAAGCAACAAAAAGGGAGAGTGACACACAGGAATGGCTGAGATTAGTACCAGGAATTTTGCTCCATGAATGGAAGGCCAGTCACAGGCTCTAGGTGAAAGGAAGCTCAGATAGAGAAGAGAGTACCAAATGAAGGGTGTTGTGAGGGCCCTCCCAGGGTGGGAGAAGCATGCTAAAAGTAGTCTATAGACCAAACATGATTGCCACTCAAAGCCTCTCTTGCAAAACACAGTACCCAAAAGAAGAGAGAGAGAACAAGGGGGAATACCCTGCCACAGAGGCAGGATGGGACGGGGGGGGGATGAGGGTGGGGGGGATGCTGGGACCCATGAGGATGGATGACGGGCACTGGTGGAGGGATGGGGACTTGATCATTGTATAACTGAAACCCAAGCACAAAATTTGTAAGCCTATAACTGTACCTCATGGTTTTTCACTAATAAAAAAAGAAAAAAAATTTAAAAAAAGAAATAAATTCACATATATATGGATATCTAAAAAAAAAAATAAAGCACAGGGTGATCTAGTCATCTAAAAAAAAAAAACCTGTCTTCGAAAATTCTTGAGCTTATTCTACAACGTGGCTTGGCGTATGCCTTAGGCAACCGCAAGCGAATGTCTGGGCTCGCAAAGAAGTGGAGAGAAGTGATAAAGGAAGACCTCAAAGAGAGAAGAACAGCAGTGCTGGTAGATTCGGCAGGCGCCGGGAAAAGCATTCGCAATGCCTGCCTGTCCTTCTCCAACTACAAGACCAAGATGACTGCCCTCCGACATCCTAATGGATCTATTATATCTTCCAGAAGAGCAATGGAGATTATCCATGACTTCTACTCAGATCTCTTTGATAGCCACGTCCACCTGCCCACATACCAAATTTCACAGGATAAATATGTCCTTCCTAACGTTCTCCCTTCCAAAATCCGACACACTATTTCAGTGAAGAAATCAACAGCACCTGGCCCAGAAAATGTCATACCTGAACATCTGAAGAACCTTCAGTCAGTACTCATCAGTACACTGGCTTGACACTTCACATGCTACCTGTCTGAATGCAAGATTTTGTCCCCGTGGAAAACCAGCAGGAGTGTACTACTCTTCAAGAAGGGAGACATCTACGACATTGGCAACTATCGCCCAATCTGCCCATTGTCATCTACAAGCTGTTCACTCGAGTCATCCTGAATAGGATTGGCAGAACACTAGATGTAGGACAACCATGCGAGCAAGCCAGGTTCCCCAAAGGATTCAGCACGATCGATGATATCCACATCATAACCAAGTTCATTGAGGGTTCTCGGGATTTCAATATGCCACTTTGTCTAATATTCATTGATTTAAAGAAGGCCTTTGATTCTATTGAGATAGAAGTGGTCATCGAAGCCCTAGCCAAACAGGGTGAGCAAACTCATCAGGATCCTCTGTGAGCTGTATTACGGAATCACTACCAGGATCTCACCATTCTACAAAGAAGTGATCATTGATGTCACGAGAGGGGTTTGGCAGGGTGATACCATTTCACCAAAACTCTTCAGTACCACCCTTGAGAACTTCATACGATGACTGAATTGTGAAGGAATGGGAGTGAAGATATACGGTTGACAACTACACCGCCTCCACTTTGCTGATGACATCGTTCTAATAACACCAAACATTAGCCAGCAGTACAAATGCTAGTCAACTTTGACCGTGAGTGTGGGAAGGTCGGATTACAGCTGAATCTCATGAAGACAATGTTATGAGAATCAGTCTCGTTCCTGACGTTCCATTTGCTATCAATGAAACGACCTCTTCGAATGAAGGCAATAGTTATGTGTACCTAGGTCAAGAAGTCAACATGACGAATGACCTGGCACCTGAGTTGTGCAGAAGGAAGAGAGCAGCTTGGAACGCCTTCAAGAGTTCAAAGAAATAGCTAAGAGGGCAAAGAACCTCTGGCTCCGGGCATATCTCTTTGATTCCACTGTTCTTCCTGCATTAACGTATGCCTCAGAGACCTGGGCCCAACAAAAAAGGATGAGAATGCAATTCGGGTCTCCCAAAGAGGAATCAAAAGAGCTATGCTTGGAGTATCACGTTTCACTCAAATGAGAGAAAGAATCCGGAGTTCTGATCTCCATAGATGAGCAAGAATCAAGGATGCTGTCTCGTTTGCAAAAGCATCAAAAATCAGATGGGCTGGACATATAATGAGATTTGGAGACGAACGCTGAACCAGAGCCATTACCGCCTGGTTTCTCTGGAACATCAAAAGACCACTTGGCCGCCCACCTAGGAGATAGTCAGACTTCTTCGTTAAGACGCTGAATGATCGCTTTTTGGCTCTTCATGTTCCCAGAACAGGCAGATGCCATCGGGCTACACTAGCATGTGACAGGGACGAATGGAGACGATACTTATGCCTGCTCGAGCTAATCGATGAGTAACAGGATGTCAAGTGATCAAGCGATTTGCAAGAAATCCTTTTCTCTGAGATAAAGTCCTGGTGTTGGTCAGAGCCCCTTCTGGAATG